AATTTACATTCAATTATCATTATTATTATGCAACACTTTCTTTAAGAATAAGCATGTCAAATGAAAACTGAGTATACCAAAGTTATTAGTCATCTGTATGAATTACATGTTGTGTAAAATAAGTGTGACCCTGCTTGGTGTAAAGCCAAGGTGCTTGGAAAGTGCTGGAAATGACCTAATGTGGGAGGTGAGTTTACATTTATGAAGCATGAGACAGAATACTTCTTTTTCCGCACAAAACATTAAAACCAGTATTTGTTTTAAACTACTTCATATCTGCTGCCAACCAATTCACTTTTTACTGGTATGATGTAACAAAATGACACAAATTTGTCTCCACACACAACTTTAATCTGAGTTACAGCATGATGAAAAAATGAAGTTAAAGATGCAATGCAACGATGTCATAAGTGTAACTTAACACAACGTCCAGTCTGTGGTAGTTTATGTTTATTCAGAATGGACTTTGGCTGTTTTATATGTGTGATCTCACAGATAACTGGATTCTTCAAATGCACTCAAACTATTTGCTTGATTTGTAGCAACCTTAATCCTAATTTTCTTTGCAAGAATGTCTTGCCTTCATGTGCACATTGCCCTCTGCAGATTGGACAGGCTTTTGCGCACCACTTAATTTTCAATCAGAAGATGATCCCCGTTAAGTTGCCGTTGCCGTGTGAGAGGGAAATGGGGGTCAGAATCCTGTCCCCAGTGCTAATGAGAAGCTTCAGTCAACACATGGCTGTCATTTTTTATCCTGTCCGCCACACAGAAAGGAGGCTCTGTGAAGGTCTGACTGATGAGGCCTGCCCGTTTCCAACTCAAACCCGGTAGTTATTCAACTTCTTGGCATACTGGTGTCAGCCCAAAAGCAATCGCTTTCACTGACTTTCAACGGTTTGAAGTTTCACCGGTCAGCTGTCTATGAAATTAATTGAAGGCAGAATTGTGTCTGTGATGAAGAGCTTTCATCGTCTTTGAATGTATTTCATCTAACAAAAATATGATTATTACAATGAGCAAAAAAAGAAAAAAGGAAAAGCAGCAAAATGACATTTTTGTCAATAAATAAAGAGATGCCTAAAGGGAACATATTTAACTCAATATGCAGAATCCCCAATAAAAAGTACCTCACTGAAAAATGACAGATAGAATTTTTTTCTCTGAATTTCAACTCTTTCTAATCAATATTTGCAATGCAAAATGATTTTTTATTACCGGAGGACTTAAAGTGTCCTGCACAATAAATAACTAAATTAGGTTTCTGCCACAGAGTGTAATGGACCGATAGACGACAAAAGGAAGCCCGTTGGTAACCAGCTTTTTATTGGCTTCTGAGAGAAAGCAAAGTATGAACAAAATTGTGGCGGAAAGCAGAGCATTGGGGGAGCCTGTGTGTCATCCATTTAGCTCCGACAGTTCATCTAAAACAGCCTATGGTCAGAAAACACAACCATTTTACAAGTTCTTCATTATAACGAACCATCTGCATCCATTATAAAGTTTCTCTGTACAGACTGGAACAATCTCTATGAGTAAACAAACTATATTTATGCTCAGTAGAGGATGAGCAGTTTGGTAGTTCGGTTGTTTAACCTTTAGAATTTGTGGCAAATGGCTTCAACTTTAGGAGTCATTAGTTTTTAATGGAAGTTCGCAAAATCGGTCAAACTTTAAATTAATCAAGTTAGCAATACAGAAGGTTTTCTCAGCTGTCGTTCCTGTACTTCATGCAAAAAAATATGATTTCAATCAGTATATTAATGTATTTATGATGCAACCTGCATGGATGCCTTTATTATGGATAGTTTTTTCTTTTTGGATCCAGAATCATGAACTACTGAATGTGTGAGAGTGACACGTTAGTAAAAAACTAAAATAATGTAAAGCTCCCAAGAGCCAGCACATGCCCTCCTTCTATAATTTCAAAGTAATAATTCAAAATAATTCAAAGCAACATTTTAAGACTGAATCGAGTGCAACTAAAATGTTTTTTCAGCAAAAGAAAAATCTTGAATTAAAAATACAAGCCTATAGTGGTAGTAGGTATCATTCCTGAGATAATGTTAATGTTTAGAATAGATGCTCATTTGAAGCACTGGCAAACTGTTGGCTGATTACTTACCTAAAAGCTTATTTTGGCCTCTAGTCTAAGTACAAACCTTTAATTAGCTGATAAAACCCGAGATTTCCAGAAATCTGGCTTTGAACCAAAATCCCTGCTGGATTCTGAACAGTTGTGTGGACAGTTTTGATGAATTACTACTCTAAACGAAAAATACATTTAATTTCTGTGATTCAATACCTCGTTCTCATTTTGGTTGAAGTTTCGGTCTCTAGTGACACATCTCATGTTGATCTAAGTTGGGGTTCAACAGCCAAATTCCCAAAACAGTTTACCATATGGCATTTGCATACTGCTTAGAATTAATGGGATTATCAATAAAAAATGCTGAGCTAATGACATAAAAATGAATAAATAGATAAATACAATACAAAACTCAACCCTCTTAGCAACAATCATCCTTCAAAGAACATAAAAGAGGGCAGTTTCATACCCATTCTTTAAATAGTTGTTAAGATAACTGCTGAATTCATCAACCAAAGTAGAGACATTGTCATCTACTGAGTCAGCCCCAGCACATGCTGTTGTTGGGGATAAGAACATTTTTGTTCACTGACTCTTTTGCTAAATGGGTCTACTTTTCACTAATTAAATGAGGGCTGATATCGAGGCCTGGTAGCAGAGTAAGGTGGGCCGACAAAGAGACAAATGTCAGGAAATTCATTATTTGACCATAACAATGAGCTTATAACTTCATTTTGCTGTATGCTTTGAACCCATTACCTGAAGGACAAATGATCAAGTGTAACATTTGACATGCCATTGAGAGCCAATTCCATTCTACCCCTTAGTAAAGTCTGAAACTTAATTACATCTAGCTTTGATTTTTAAGCTCCATTACTTTTCCTCAATTATTCATTTCTACATTCTGCCATGGTGAGTTTATGTAGTTATAGCAACGAACACATTCCCTGTAGTGGAACAACAATGAAATATTTTTGTTCAGAGCTTCAGAATAATATTTAACTTACGTACTATTTGTTTTGCGTATATATTTTTGAAAGTGATAAAGAGGAAATAAAGCTTGTGGATGAGATTGGTAATTGCTTCAACAGGCTACTGTGTTCTCTCCCTGCAGCCAACGATAAAATTGATTACACATCAGTCACGGTAAAAAAAAAAAGAAAGGCCGTCTGCGCCCAGCACAGAGATGCAATGAGAGGGGAAAAAAAAAAAAAAGATGGCTTGTGTATCTTTCATTTGTTCTTTTGGTTCCTGCTGATCTGAAATCGACTGCCTGACATTGGTCAAACATCCCTCTCTGAATTGTGAATAGATGCTTACTGGATGCGGTGGGGTGGGAGGGGGTGATGGGACGGGACCCGGTGCATGAAAGAGGCTGATTACAACTGTCACTCACCGGGATATCATTGATCTCAATCCCCTTTTTCCGGGATTGAAGTGACACAGAGGGTTTGAATGTCAGCGCCAACTGTCCTGAAATGTTTTATATATAATCTTTATACACGCCAACCCATGAGGCTGCCTTTTTAAAAGGTAGTTTTTAGTGGTGCTTGTTTTTCAGGGATTGGATTTCAAGGCAGGTTTGTGTATCTTGAGCATAAAATCCACCAAATTTCATGGGTCTTTTGTTCTTTGCAAACATGTTGATGGATATCGAATTTCATAAAGTTCGCTAAATACAACTAGAGACGCACAATGAAAAAAGACACAGAAATGCTGCAAGACTTCTTTAAGTATTTACCGACAGGTTTGATTACTTTGAGATGCAAGTGTCATTAAGCTTGACCATCTACAAATAAAGATGATGACATATTTCTCACAAACCGGAGAAACTGCAGATATAGAACATTTTCTATTTTTTTGCCTTTTTTTTTAGCCTGGTGACCAAATAGAGATAACACTACTGTCTGGTCATTGTTAGTTTGATACAAATGCAATAAGGTTTAAGGAAATCTGGACAAAAAGTCAAGATGTCGCCTGTTGCTGTGGCAACAGATGAGCTGGAGTGCTACTACAAGCTTAAATGAACTAGTTAGAAAGTCAATTAGCCTCTTTAACCTTTTTTGTAGCAATAAATAAATTAGATAAAGATCACCCTCAATGGTGCAAGGTTATCTTGAATTGGGAAATACTTGATGTATAGATGTGCCATTCAAATAATATAACACATAGGCTCACAAAAGTAAACTATTGCAAAAAAAAACGTGATGCTATAGAATGTGTGCGATAGTGAAGATCCAAACAGAAGTTGAACAAACAGAAAAAGCAACCAAGAAAAAAAACTCGACACGCTTCTAAAAGGCTTAATGTGCGGAAAAGAGAAACTCTCACACCCAGACAATGCAATTTTAGATCAAATCACATGTACGCATTAGATTAGCCCCAAAGGTCATCTCCAACAGATGCAAACTTTAGTCTCTCTCTTATCTCAAACAGTGTCATGGCATTAAACACATGTGAGTCGAAAAGTCAAACCCCCCCCCGATGCATGAAGGCTGGGAAAAGACACGGGATCAATTACAGTCCAGGACTAAAAATCCTGGACTGACTATAAATTGCATCATTAAATAGATTTCAAAGAGATACTTGATTATGATAAAAGCAAAAAACAAAAAAAACATACTATTTTAGTTACATTAAGAACATTGAGATCATAAACACTATCTGTTCCAATGTTAATGATACCAGTTATGTGAGGATGTTCTGGTTTCTGCTTGTCATATAAGGAACATATAAGGTGTTTATAAGGTGTTGCTTTCTGTGCCAATAGCATACAGATCTGGGAACCTTCACCTTTCTCTTATAACTCGTGTTTTCAGAAGTTAAAACATATGCAGAGACATCTAATGCAGAAGATCTATGTCTGTAAATATTATGCTTATCTCACCGGTGAGTATTCTGAAACTCTCACCCTCGCCCTGAATGGAACAAAAGAGCAAAGTGTTAGGAGCTCTCGCTGCTCTGATGCCTTGAAATACAGAAGGGAGAAGAGCCTTGTTTCAAGGGACAAAGAATAATTGCTGTGTTTACAAAAGCTATGGGAGAGAGCAGTGAACCATCTCCAGGGAAATATGAACAAAAGCCACCTGCTCCTGCCTCTAAAATAAGCAGCGCATTTCAAATAGAGCTCTGTGACTGACTTCAGATTGTGCCTTTTAAACATCGTGTTGCATCATATTAAACTGCATGTCAAAAGAGTCCCAGGTTATTACAATAAATGCCATTTTTGGGGGTCTTCAAAGTATTCTTCTGTTAGGTACATCTCACCTGAGATATGCGGCTTGTTTTTCCACATAAACTTGCATAAAAGTGCAGTGAAACATGCAGGACGATGGCTGTTTGGTTGACAACGCAATGATTTTGAATTGCACATCTAAGATGGAGAGTGAAAATAACTACACATCCACCCGTGGAGAACGGTTTGGGGAGATCTTACCTTTGTAGAAGCACTCTTCGCTGTGCATGATGGTGATCCTGTGTCCCTGGATACAGGAGGTCCGGTGGAGTTCACAGTGGTTCTGGTACAACTTCCCATCGGAGCCACACACCGGCTTATAGTGCGGTTTACAGCGGTCCAAGCACCTGCACTCCCCCTGGTCAGTCTCGCGGTTGACCACGCAATGGCGTCCCAGGCCACAGTATTTGTGTTCACACGGACCCGGGTAGCCATTGTGTCCCATTAGTCCTGCAGAGCACACAGAGGAAGAGCAAAAAAATAACAGATTATGTAGCATTCCGAACACTGACATTTGTCACATAAAGGTGTTTTTCTTTTTTAACCATGTAGATATGATATCTGGATTTGTCTTCCTTTTTCTGGCTGCATCTCATTAGCTCTTTTTGCAGCCCATGGCCTTTATAGTATCCCCATCCATAACAGAGGATCTCCCTTTTGTCAACTAGCTAAGTGTCAGTCACACCTGTAAATTATTCAAGGAGAAATTTGCTACAAGGCAATCATTGTAGAAAAAAAGCAAATGCTGTTTGATTTAATATCTGCCTGTGCTGAGATAAGACTACACGATGTCTTGCACATGTATTAATATCCACATGTCTTCTGTGACCTTTGTGAAGATCCCGTTCAGTAATATTTACCGTGTGACTTCTGCCTTACGCAGTGCACTCACTTAGTAGTGAGACATTGCAGAGTTATAGTGCTAAATGGTGGAACATAAACCAAAAAAAAGGAGAAAAAACATTAAGAGCAGTAAGAGACACCATAAACAGTTGTGCAATATATCTATTCTGCATTGGCACTTTTTGAAATTGCTATTGATTTTTTTTTTTTTTTCATCTTTTCGCTTTTTATGACAACAGTGTGTTTCGGGAACTTCAAAATCACATAAAGCAAAAGATGACAGTCACGGGTGATTTAAAACGAATCAGCTTGCTTTCTGCTTTGAAAATTTATGAAATAACACACACAGTTTAAGTATAGTTCATGCAGTTGATCATATATTATAAGTAACTTATGGAGGACATTTAGCAAAGACTGTTCATGATCAACATGATAATATTTGTTTTTCATCCATTTTTTCATAAAAAAGTACCAATTTTCAAGAATCTCTTCAATGCTACCTTATTTTATTGGGAAAACAACTGCAAAAGTTAATTAAAAAAGCTTCAGTTATTGACCTTTTGTTCTCATGTTTAACTTGCAACATGTGACTTCATGGCTTATTATTGCTTTTTTATTTTTTATTTTACCAAGCTTAAAACAGAAAGAGGAGGTGAACCACCAGGGTGACACCAGTAATGTGACTTACAGTTCACATTTTCAGTTAACACCACCAGCTCAGATGTGAGAACTACACAATGAGCACCAAGGTAAGCAACAATTTTGCAGAACTGACGTCTTCAGACATAAAAACTCTTAAAACAAGCCTGAAGAGTATTTACATAATTCAGTCATTAAGAATAAGAGGGTCACAAACTTTAAGAAGTAGCTAACAATTCTTCACAGGACACAGAAGGTAAATGTAAAGGTACAAGGTAAACTTTATTTTCTATATCTGCGTTTTAACAGCGTAATGCACACTCTGAGCGTTGCCCTTTGGAATGGTCCTCAGGGGGTGGAGGGATATGCTGAACGCAGAAAAGAAACTTAATCATCAGAGTAAGTGCCTCTCGTGGCTGCACTGTTACATTATAAACACGGAGGAAGGCTGGCAATGACGACACGGAAAAATGATTACAACTTTGATGGCCACTTACTCCAACTATGAAAGGTCACGGAAATGCACGGCTATAGCAAAAAAAAAACGCCAAAGCAACACAGCGGAAAGTATAGTCCACGGATGCCGGCCAGAGGTTTTGTCCAAGGACAAAAACAGGAGGTTTAATAAATCAAGTAATGAACGAGTATTTGCCTAATGAGGCCATATCACCCATTTCGAGACCACATATAAATTTAAATGAAAGTCCCTCGGAATGCATTAAAAAAAGAAGTTGTGATGTTCCAGATTAGTCATTTTCTGATATTCGCATTGCGGTGACGGGTGTGTTTTTGTTGCAGGTTGGTGCCTTTCATGCTCATTTGTAATATCCCGGCTTTTAAGAGAGACTAGTTATCATCATTCGGGGAAACGCAGCTTTTTAAACCGTGCCTCTCCTGCCCTGTTGTTTACAACAACAGGGCGCGCACACTAACAAAGTGCGCGCACACATTTAAGGCACATCGTACCATTACTTTTGTTTCAAGATGACAAGCACAACAGTTCATTGGATATAATGAGTAAAAAATGATCAAACGCGCGTCTTTGTATACATGACACCGTCCTGAACAACAGAGCCACACCAAACAGCTGCAAGAAACAGTGTCAGGAATTGTTTTTTAATGAACACATTATGAATAAAATAATGCCCACGTGCATATTAAATAAGCAGCATTTGTTTTATCTCCATGAAATAGTAATGAAGGAGAGAAAAGCACATGAGAGCTAGCTCTTTGCGATCAGGGTTTCAAATATTAAGTCCCATCTTTGCCGTCGTTTTAACTTATTTTACTACAACGTGACAACTCTACATTTATTTGGGAGGTCCAAATATGCACATCAGTTTCTGTCTTTCCTTTTGTTACTGTTTTATTACTGTTGTGACAGCATAAAAATACAAAATATACAGGGTGTAATAATGTCTTGATGTGTCAATTAAATCTAAACATGGAAGAAATTAGAATACCTGCCAAAAATAATTTATTGACTGAAAAAAACAAAAAACAGTGCTGAGTTTGTGTCACTGTTTTTTATTCTCCACATGCAGAATTTGATCTTTTGCAAAGATTTCATCACTAAAGGCAGTGAGCTTGTAAGATGGCTGCTGCCATCTAAAAGTGAGTCTAAAAACGTATGAGATCAGATCAAACCATCCATCAACCTCACATTGGGTCACATATGCACTCAAAGGGAATCCATTACGGAAAAATTCAGATTTTCTGTGCTTGATAGCTTGTATTTGGTGGCTGAAGAGACAACTAACTAAAAAAGTGAAATACGGCCATTGCTTTTTAAACCACTTAAACCGCCATTTCTGTTGAACTTCAAAATATGCTGAAACTATTGTTGTCTTTCTTTTTATATCAATAGCAAATCCGAGTTAGCTTTATTGCTCACTTCACATAAGCAAATGTTAGTTTTGCTTATGTGAAACGATATGTCATATTCTGACATGTAAAGAAATTTGTATCTTGTTTCCCATTTCAACAACTTAGGCAATTCAACTCATTATTTGCAACATGATTATGACTAAGAGAGGTAATCAGAAATTGAAAGTATTCGAGAATAACACAGGGCTCTCAGTAATTTTCTGTCAGTTTGGAGTGTGGTCTGAGCTCTCAGGCCTTCTCATACAGTCACACAGTCAGTCTGAGAGTTGTTAAGTACTCGAAATATCTTAAAAGAGGCAGACACGGAGGAAGAGAGGGCCAGAGTGGAGCTGGATACGAGTCATGCCAAACACTAAGGATGCACTTGAACAGAAATGTCAACGCTTTGAAGAAAAGTGAGTTACTGTCATATCTGTGATATTTGACCAAAGCATAAATTAAACTTAATACGTCAGGAAGCTGTGAAAAGCAGTGAATTTGTTGTAAACGTAAAGAACGGTTTGAATTTCTGTTTTTGACAAATGGTGCAGAGTTTAAAACAGAGACAACAAGGTTTAAATCCATGTATCTCTTAGTACTGATTAGTCAGTGTCAATGCAGTTTTGCTTTTCTCCTCAATATCTGATAGCTCAAAAGCAAATAATTACAGAAATAACTTTCACCAACAATATTATGATGCTTTATTCATTTAACCAAATTAAATTTCTCCAAAAAGTGCTGCTGAGTTCCAATTAGTTATACTTGATCATGATCCACATATCATAGAACTGCTCTGTAATTACTGCCCAACAAAACTGCAAAACTGTCACAGAAAAAGGGAAATTAGGGACTGTAGGGACCCATACTGTATGCGGTCTGTTTCACCACTGACCGATAAATATTGACCAAAGAATGATGCTCCGTTGCTTTAATTAAATATGTGATGTATTTAGCCTTGAGCGAGGTTTGTTCCCTGATCTATAAACTCTAATGAAAAGCAAAACGGACACCAAGTATTCATGATAAGTCGATTGCTACAGTAGTTCTCAAAAGAAATAGCCCTTCCGCTCAGATGCATTAGATATTATCTAGTCTGCACCAGCCTCTGTTTTCCATTCTATTGTCCTAAAACTCTGTTCACTCTTCTAACAAGTTCTGTTTGAGCTGATGCCCTTTTTGGCTGGGATGCTATTTAGATTATCCCTCTTATAAATGCAAGTAATGTAGTAAAAAATACAAATATTTTGTATCGTCACCACACAGTTGTTATAGAATGTCAGACTGACATTCAAGCTACAAATCTCAGTGGCAGAGAAGCACATTTTCCAGAAAAAAAACATCATAATCTGAAGTATCTAAAGAGATTTAAATAAGGAAAAGTATTGGAATAATCTCCGAGTTTAGCTTTAGTTGCCAGACTAAATTATGGTAAACAAATTCAATTAAACTGATTCGCATCCCCGACATCTCCTCACACACCGATCGGCTTTATCCTCCAGCAATCACAAAGGATTTAGGTGGGATACAAATGTGAACACTGTGACCTGTTTGGAGTCAGTCAATTTGCTACTTTATTAATTCCCTGTGGTGCGCGGGCATAATGATTATTCAGTGAGTTTGTGTCGCGCAGTCAGGCTTCTTCTGCCACCAGCAGGGTCAGGGAAGGGCGCAGCCATTTGTTGTCAGTGTGCACATCCAGCTGACTGCTCGGCTGACATCAGAGACAAATGACAAATGGCGCACGGTCTCTCGTTTATTGACCCTTTTTTTTTTTTTTTTTTAAAAGCATGGACAGATGTCCATCAAGCAGAGTGTTCAATGTGACCCTTTGTTGCAACTGCTCTTTTTTATTTTTTTTATTTATTTATTCATTTGTTTATTTTTTATTTATTTTTCATTTTTATTTCTATTTTTTATTTTTATTTCATTTATTTATTTATTTATTTATTTATTTATTATGCTTTCATCTCAGTCGTCAAATCATTCAAATGTCAAGAGTGGCTGAAATTAATGTCTGAAAAGCTAATTATTATCATTAAAAGGGAGAATCAAATTTTCATCTCTTTGGTTTTTAAATTTTTCTCTCATCATCATCTTTATGG